AAATGAGTGCTCTACATTCCCAAAATGATCCTGGAGTATGGGTGCTCTTTTTATTTTCACTTTACAGATGTGGAAATTGAGACCCAGAAATGTCAGGTCACAAAGCTAGTAAGTGGCAGAGCTAGAGTTCAACCCGAGGCAGCTCAGCTGCCGTCTGGATCCACAGGGCCAGCTCCTTTGTCTCCTTCGGACAAAGAACACCTGCTTGCGAGCACCTGCCTTTAGCAGCCACGCTTTGTGGGCAGAAGTCCTCTTTCCAGGCTCACAACTAAGCACGCTGCATGCTGCCCTGTGCACTCTGGAGGTGCGCCCGAATCACTCTGCAGCTGGACTGCGCTTCAGACGCTGGGGCTGCTGCTAGTGCAAAGAGCCCTGCAGGGGACGCTTGCGGAAGGGAAGTCTGTACATGCACATGTGGGGATCTGAAAGCGTGCAAGTACACACCCAACACACACCACCCATATTTGTACAGTGACGACAAAGGGGAGAGTCAAGAATACTTTCCCTTAAAGGAATTAACATTGAACTCAGCACCTTCTGGGACGCAGGGAGATGCCGGCCTCTTCCACCATGAGGGAGACGCTTTGGGGTGCGCAGCACCAGCCCCTGTCGCACACAACAGAGCCAGCTCAGGCTCAGAGGCCGGGTAACATGCACCGCAGGTCTGCCACCCTGCCCACGCCTTCTCCCCTGGCCATGGAGCTGAAGGTCTAGGCGTGCGTGTGTGACCTGTAGCGCTCCCAGGGAAACTGCCGAGCTGCTCTGCAGCGAGGCAGCACCCAGGTGATACCGCCATAGGCACCTGTGGCCCCTTCACAGAGCAGCCTTCAGCGGCCGATGCTCCCTCGGGTCTTCCTGGCCTTCTCGTGGCCGCTCCGTTCCTTCAGAAACTTACCTAACTTGGCCGCCTACCTCACACGTACCCCTCTTTCCAGTAAGTTCACCCCTCTTGTACTTCACCCACTGCCTGAGCTCACCAGCGCGGCGACCTCTCCCCCAGGCTCAGGGGGCCTGGCCCCTCTGCTTCCTCAAGGCCTGTTTCCACCAGCTGTCACCTCTGCACCTGTGACCTCTCTTGTGCGTTCTGTGAGGCTCTCGTTAGGGAGGCTTCTGGTAGCCCGACTGATCGTGCCCAGCTATTGTCCCGTGCAGAATCGGCACCATTACACCGTGATGCTCCTCTGACTTTATCTCTTCCACTTCTCCGGCCACCCCTAAACAGTGCTCGCACCGCACTCCCCCTCAGCTGGGGTCTCCTGCCCCAGGTCCTGGCCCCTGCCACTGGGTTGAAGACTCCCCAGTTGGTGTTACTAGCCCAGGCCGCTCTGAACCCCAAATGGAGAGACTGATACACGCCATGGGCAGCTCCATGGAAAAGCCCCCACCCACCCTGGGCGGCCATTGCCTTGCTCCTGGCACACGGCCCCTGCACACGCCCCCACCAGCCCTTCTCAGTTTAGTCTCATTTGCAGCATCACGCAGATTTCACCTTCAGGTGAGCCTGGGCCACAGCTGCAAATAACAGCAACTCCCCACCTCACGCCGCACTTCTAACCGCATCACCGTCCTCTGGAACCCAGATGCCCTCACTCGCGTCCTGTGCACGGTAGGGCCCAAAGGCCCAACTGACTCCTGCCGGTGCCTGCAGCCTGCAGCCCGACTTCTGGCTCTTGAGCCTGTCCTGCTGCTAACCTGACTCTAAGCCACACCTCTGACAGGAACTAATACAAAATGAGCCATGTATCTGCCTCTGTTTCTACAGAGAGAAACTAACCAGCCCCGTGGGCCCGCCTTCCGCTTTCAGTTTACGCAGGACACCCGTCCTGCCTGTCGGTGTTTGCGTGACTTTCGGCTTGGAGTGCCGTCTCCCCTTGTTGGTCTGGCCTGTTTCTCTCTTCATCCTTCCTCACCCCGCGCAGGGGAACCCTTTCCTAGTCTCCAGAGATGGCTTACGGGTCTGTGTGGCCCGTGAACCTCCTGCCTGTCTCTCTGAGCTTCTGCAAGCTCTCTCAGGACCTGCTCGGGAACAATCTATCATCCAAGCTTGCTTTACTTTTAAGGAGCTATTTGAACTTTTTCATTAACATAATTTACTGCACTACATGACTTAGGATAGGTTTACACCTCCTCAGAAGTATCAGGTTTCCACACCCGCCAAATCACCCACAGTTCTTCATCTAACCACTGTCCCCCTTTGATCGCATCCTCGCCCACCCTCCCGCTCTGGTAGCAACTCAGAAGTCATCTTTTTAGCAGCAGCCCTGGTAGAAAGAAAGGCTGCCTGCCGGCACTGACCTTGCCAGTGAGCAACTCTGGGAGGCGGGTTTGGGGCAGAAGGGGGTTGTGGCTAGTGCAGAATCCCCAGGACTCTGCAGAGTGACCTGAGGCGACAGCCCAGGGAGGCTTAGGATGATTTCAGGTGTCCCTTCAGGACAGCTTGGGGTGGGTTAGGAAGGGAACCACCCTCAGCCTACGACTACGGCGGCGGCGGGAGATGCCAGGTTTTGATCTGGAAGGGCCAGATGAAAGGGTTCTCTCCAGGGGGGTTGCGGGGGCACTAAGAGCTTGGCCCCGACTCCTCCCTGTCCTGGGCCTTCTTTGTCTTTTGCGGCCAGAGGTACCTGACTATAAATCCCACACAAGTCCCGGTGGGAGTGGCGTCCAGGGCCTCACCCCCATGCTGTACCAAGGAGGCTTACCTTCTGCCACTTTACCGGTGCACCGCTGGGCGCTTGACTTGCGCAGCTGGACAAAGCCGTCTCCGGTTTAAGTTTGAAGGTTGCCGGGATGCATCTGGCGCCAGATCACCTCAAGCTGATCATATCCCCAAATTCGGAACTCACCCCCTCAATGAGGCGGGGGCTGTAGAGCACATCCCAAAGCGGCGCAGAGGGAGGAGGGCTTGCGACGCCCAGTGAGGGAGCGTGAAAGTGAAGATATTCTCGTTCTCCGGAGCTTACTGAGAGGGGTCACGAGCCTTTGGCGCACCTCCGGGTTCTGCTTACTGCAAATGGCCCTGGGACAAACCTTCCAGCCCAGGTAGACAACTCTCGGGCAAGCTGGGCGACATCCTCTGGCCCCTCTCTACCTGGGTCCGTCCTCCTAAGGGCACATGCGAACGGCGAGCACCTTGCGCAGGGCAGGTGGGGCCCAGGATTAGCCGGGTCTTCGGCAGAGGGCCTAGCTTGGCTTCCGCGAACACTGAACGGGACGCCCCGTTTCTCCACCTGTGGGCACCGTGCTGCAAGGCCTGCGCGACCCCGCAGCAAACTGCGGGTATCAGCCCGGTCGGCAAGAGTTTGCCCGGCTTGGTGAGCGAGGCGGTGCCGGCTCCGCTGCGCAGCTGAACTTCAGGAGACGCCCCGGCCTATGGTTCCGAGGGTGTGCACGGCCCGCGCAGCGTCTGCCACTGGCCGCTCTTCTTTTCCGCCAGTTGAGCCGCTGGCTCAGGGCTCCCACGACTCCCCTCGGGGCGGGCGGGGCGGCCGGTGGCTTGCACGGGCAGGCCCGGGCGTGGCCTCCCGGAGCAGGTCTGGGGAGTCGGGTAAGTGGGCTTGTTTCCTCCAGGGGTCCACCGGCAGGGAGAAAAGAGGCTCAAGAGGGGCGGCGTCCGCCAGCGCGTGGAGAAGA